GTATCTTGTAGAATAAGGTGCACTGAGTGTAAGTAAGTGTACTGGCTTTATTCAAAAGAGATATTTAGTTATATACCCATTCTTAGCACTAAAATTATAAATAAATCCTATGCCATTTAATTTCTATAAACAAACCCAAAAAATGATAGATGACCCTATTTTATTTAATTTTGATTATTAAATTATTTTGATGCCCTATTGAGCATGTTGGGGTTTTTTTAATGAGGTTTTGGGGTTTGGTTTGTTTTAAGAAATCAATGGCAGTTTTGTAATTTAAAAGAAGTTAAAAGCCTTTTTGTTATGTTGTAAATGGGCTTTGGGTGTATTTCTAAAGTTCATTTCATATATATAGGGGTTTTTTTTTTTTTTTTTATCATTTGGGCTCCTATATTGAGTATAATAGTGAATCTCCCTTATTAAAAAGCCAACAACATCTCTGTATCCAAGTAGATTGGTATCACAATAAAGCTTATGAAATATTTTTGCTTACCATTTTCACTTAAGGTGCATATTTATAATTCTTTTTAATACTTGACACGTGTTCATAGACATAATCATAGTTAACTTTTTACTTTAATTTATGTAACCACGATTATTCTCATGGACACGTGTCCAATGTTGAGAAGGGTGGTGAGCATACACTTTAGATTAAAGTGATGAGCAAAAATACTCCGATAAAGCTCAAATTCAACTTATGTTTTCTTCTCATAGATTGGTATAATAAAGCCTACCATATTTTCATGCTCGTTAATATCTGTAATGACTTTTGGCAAAATATATATATAATGGTATATGTGATTTCACAAATAAGAAATAATAAAGCATCAAGGTTGATGATAGTTGGATTAGACTTTTGTGGTTCAGTGATAACCACTAAAGCAGCTAACGCAACAGATTCAGCAGATAGAGCATCAAGGTCCAGAAGTTCCAAATATGCTTCATCTCTTGGGTCTGGGACATGGGGTAAATCTAACCCCTATGGTTCTGGAACATAAGGTAAGTCTATCCCTGGTGGTGGCCAAATATCAGCAGCTATAATTGCAGCATCTTCCAACACTTGGTTGTAAGAGTGTGCTTCAATATTTAACTGATATTGACTCCTAATATTGTTGGCCTGTAATCAATGTCTAACAATCAGTCTCTGTATCTCTGGTGTATAAAACATCCTTCTATATCTTGTATTAACAACTTCATTAACTACGTCCACATAAGCCTAGTTGTGTAGACGATTGTGGTATACTTCTTCGTCTACTGGGATGAGGCCATTGGGTCCCATTTGGAACCCTCCCCATGTATCATCACTCTGATCGGGTTGCATCCTAAACCTTAATTTAACAGGTCAGTGAATAACAAAACAATTTCATGAAACTGTAAAACTTGCTCTGATACCAACTTGTCATGCCCCAACTCACGGATTTATGTAACCTTGGGTTAAGACGTGATTCACACCTTAATTATAGAATTTAATAAAAACTATAACTAAAATGTGAAGAAACATTTAAATAAAATAAATAAATATTTCACATAGAATATTCAACGGAAACGACAATATCTGAAATCTTAAAATTTTTACATTATTTTACAAGTTAGAACTACTCAAGAGTTCACTAAAAGAGTAGCTCATTATTCATCCACAAGCTATGTACACAATACACTTTATAGATATGCCAAAATCATTACAAGCTCTAGATTTCAAGTTTAGTACCTGCAAAATCTGTTAGGGGGTGAGCGAAACCACAGCTCGGTAGGGACATAAACTTTTCACGGTAAATTGATATAACTAAATTAAGTGATATACAATCACACAGTCAAATATCACATTATTAATAATAATGCATGAATGCTCTTCATCTAATCCCGTTAATTCATATAACTTGACAAACAGACCTGCACATCCCATATCATGCTTATACCACTTGGTCCCGAATGCCAATTTATATGAGCTAACCCCCATCTCAATCATCCCATAAATCCCCTTTTGTTAGTCATCTTGTCTAACTCCCTGTCGCCAGTCCCGTACCACCCAATAAACACCATGTGCACTGTGGGATCCCTGAGATCTAGTACCTGCCAAGAGTTAGACTCAACTACACAAAAGATCATTTCCATTACCCTCTTTTTCCATCATTATTTTCTCAACCCAACAATTCTAGCCAATTTCCATGACATGATATAATTATGCCTTTCACATATCCTTCACAACAATGTAACCATTTAAAACATCATCAATGTATATACAATTATGCAAACATTGTTCAAATAGTTAAGAATAAGTAAATACCCAATACAAGAAACATCAACCAAACTGTAATACCATGCATAATATAATGCTCATGAAATTTATTTAAATCAATCTCTATAAAAGGCCCCCAAGAAATCCATATCTCTTTTTCAAAGCTAATTCCAAGTTAAGAAAAACACCCACAAGCTACGTACGGGTCCTAACTCCTCCTGAGAATTTTATCACTATTCTCTCTCTCTCTCTCTCTCTCTCTCTCTCTCTCTCTCTCTACGTTTTTCTTTGTCTTTGCATGAACTTTCATGCAAGGTTAGGTGCTTTCAAAAATAAAGGAAAAAGATCCTATTTATAGTAATACTCAGGGAAGAACCAATTAGTTCTAATTGGTGGGGAGGTGATGACCACATGGGAATCTTGGAGAAATTATAGAATAGTACGGATTTACCACGTTAGCATGTGATACTCCCATTCAAATATTGCCATGTGTCCATTTTAAAATAGAAATTAAATTTTTTTTACAGCTGTGGATTTATTTCTTAATTTTTATCTTATGAAATAAAATTAGAAAATTGAAAAACTTAAGAAAAAGGAAAAAAAAAAAAAAAGAGAATTCCCAACAGCAACCCCTCCCGAACCCAACACCTCTAATCCCAAAAACATGCCATGACCGCCACCCATCTCCACACCACCTGCCATGACTGCCACCCATCTCCCTTCCTCTTCCTCTTCCTCTTCCTCTTCCTCTTTCCTCTTTCCTTTTCCTTTTTCAACCCTTATAGTAATTGTAGGTAATGATGATGATGAAATGGAATAGTGGAAGCGTTGGTGTTTGTGTTAATGGTTGGGAAATGTTAGAGTGAGGGATGGCATGGTGAAGAGGAAAAGAGACGGGGAGGTAGAGGAAGAGAGAGGGATGGCATCCATGGAACGCAGTGGAGTTTTAGGGGAGGGGCGGCGATTGGGAATAATATATTTTTTTCTTTTTCTGTTTTTCAAATTTTAAATTTTATTTCATAATATAAGTCTAGCCGTAAACAAATATTTAATTTCTGTTTTAAAATAGACACATGGCAATATTTGAATAGAAGTATTACATGCTGACGTGGTACGTACATTCGTACCATTGTATAATTTATCGGAATCTTGGGCTCCAAGATTAGGATAACTATTACTAGATTGCCAACACCTCATGCTAAAATAGAGCTTAGTCACTTAGGTATAATGACCACATATCTAATACAGATAAGTCTCACATAAATTAGTTGGGTACGCCTCTATTGGAGAGATTGCCATCAAAATAGTCAATATGTGTAATTGTTTTCCACCCTTCCCCTTCTTAACTATGGCAAAAAAACAAATCGGAATAAACTGGCCAGTTGAAATAATTAGCATTACTTTTTCATGCGAATTAACGGATGAATTGGACAGCTCCCACTTGTAGAGTAGAGAATGAAGAAAGTGAAAACTTCCAAAGAACTTATATGCCGTACGTTCCCACTTGTGAAGTTGCGAACCACAGAAAATACAATCTCCACGCGCTTGCCCTTTCTTTCTTCCTTAATTGACCCGTATCCTCCGACGACTGAATTTTTTCTAGAAGAATCACAAAACGAGTCAAATTAGACAACATTTAGAGATGCATGCCACAGCGGAAGATGGAAGAAAGATGCTGAAAGATTCTCAAAATTAAGGAAAATATTGTCTTTATTTGGTCCAATTTCCAAATATCCAATTATTTGGTATTTGGTGTTTATTCAAAACGACCGCTACCTTGTATTTGCAGCACTAAATAAAAGAAGAAAACGCAAGTCCAACAAGAATTTTTTTTATTTTTTTTATTTATAAAAAAAGCATAATTTAATAGAGCTCTTACTATTCGTTAAAGGAAGGAGTAAAAGAAAAAAGGAAAGCTGCAAACAAAAATTTGTGTGGTTGTTTTCTCTTTCCCCTGTAATCTTATTTTATATTTAATTTTTTAAATATGTAAATGACAATATTTCCATTTGACTCTGAAAGGATGTTAAACAAATGTAGATTTATATGGATGACCACATTCACAGTCACTGATGAGTCACACACAGATGCAAAGTTTAACGAACAAAGTCAATCTCCATTATATTGGAAGCATAGCCACCTTTTTGGAGAGGAGTTTTTTTCTTTCTTTCCTCTTTGTCCTGTACAAGTGTTTATGTCTGAGCGCCTGACAAAACCGAAGGGTGGAGGGGAAGACTCGAATTTCATCGTAATGGGCTCATGGATATCTAGGGTTACAGAGATTGAAAACACGACAGACCAGACTCTGGAACTGAGAGAATGTCCGGAGGGTGATCCAGAAGGGAAAGGAAGTGAACCAATTCTGCTTCATCCGCACAAGTCCAAGTGGATCCCTGCAACTAAATTCTGTCAACACAGCCACGATGCCGCTAGACCACGGCACTTAATTCTGGTTTCCTCCAACGGGGGTGGAGGGAATCCTGAGACCTTCGCCACAACTGATTTCATCACCTTCGAAAAGTTCGTTATCTTTCGGATGGAAAACGGGAACATCGGGGTCCAGACAACCCGTGCTAAAGGGACCGGATTCCTAAGAATCAAGTAATTGAACTCTCTCACTCCTCACTCTTTCGATTACTGATAAAATTGCGTGTTGAAATTTTTAACTGATATAGGTTACTTAACACACACACACATATATGTATATAGGTTGGTCAAATGCTTAATCAGTTTCATTCAGCTACGATGAGCAAGCAGATACGAGAACCTTGCAGGTAACCTTGAGTTTAATATTTATTCTTCTTTAACGTTGAGATTTTCATTTAATTTTTGTTATGCTTTAGACATTCATTTTTTATTTTTCTTGCTATAGCTCCATAGTTCATGCCCAATTATGCGTATACATGGTAATTATTTTTGACCTACAGAGTTTTAAATACATCTAAATTCAATGCAGGTTTTGAGAGAGACAACTTTGTAAAAACAATACCATTCTCTTTCAAGGGCTATATATACCATACCTTATGAAGAAATAAGAATATGTTGTGTTGTTAAAGGACGAAGAACCCAATTATAGAAACTTAGAGTTTGTTTGGGAGTGATTCTAGGAGGGCTAAATTAGTTATGGGCATAAACACATCCTGCACGCTACTCCATATAATCTCTTTAAGTGATTTTAATTAAGCCATTTTCGGGAGAAGCACATCCAATGTGCCTCTTCATAAAATCACTTAAAATTAAAACCACTTAAAGTGATTTTTCATAAAAGTGATTATTGACTTATGTAGAATCACTTCCAAAAGAGCCATATTTGTACATATTGTAACGAATAAGCAATGAGAAGCATTATGTTGTACATAGTATATATATAAACTTTTAAAAAGTTGCATTACTCATGTTGTTCATATTGTATATATAAACTTCAAATTATTTCTTATATCCATTACAGCATATTGCATATATTTCTTAACACAAGCAGTATTAAGTAATGCACCTACATAACAAACGATCATAATACACCTGCTACACACAAATGCAACTAATTTACCTATACTAATTTGTAGGTGTACTTAGATTAATTTACCTATTTCTAAATAAAAAAATAAAAAATTTACCTACACATGTACATATTGTTTACCTATATTTTGTACCACTACTAAAAAATTGGGCTAAAAGCATGTAAAGGGCAAAAAACAGATATTCATGTCCTTTTGAAACACATTTGACACATATATGTAGTATTTGCATGATATGCGAGGAAAACACAATTGTTTTGTGTCCAATGCCAACAAAAGAAGGAAATAATTGTGCCTAAATAGTTTAGGCACAAATTTCGTGTCCAATTATCATATCATCAATAGAGAATAGTTTAAGCTTTTTAAAACTCAAAAAGTATACCTTTGTGCTCTTTTGCTTACAAATTATATTAATAAACAATTATACCTACAAAATATTATTTGTCTTTTATTTACCAATAAAAAACAAAAAACTTTTAAGCATTATGACATAGTATTGAGCACAAATATTAATTTTTGTGGTCAAGTCAGCACACATTTCAAAATACGGTGACCTATAGAGCATGAATACTGAAACTGTGTCCCTTTAAGTGACCTATAGAGCACGAATACTTTAAATTGTGTCTAGATTAGTTTCAAAATTCTTCATAAAAAAAATAGATAAAAAATTTTCAAAAAGGCACCTGTCTTCATGTAGAAGCTTCTCTCCAAATATCTCATTAAAAATGAATATATTAATGATAAGCATGCCAACAACACGCACGCCTCTTTCATTGAAAAAACGCATCCCTCTGTCTTGTCTTTTCATCTTTCTTTTTTCTATTCTTTTTTCTTTTTATTTTCTCCATCTCTCCCTCACAGTTTTTTTTATTCTTTTCTTTTTCCTTCTTCTTCTTCCTTTCTCTGTCTTTTCTTCTTCTTCTCTCTGTCCCTTCTTTTTCTTCTCTTCTCCTCCTTTTTTTTCATTCCTTAACCAACCCAAACCGAGCCACCTCTCAAGTAACAAAACACCACCACGATTCAAGGTCGGTCCTAGGATTTTGAGAGCCCTGTGCGAAACTTTAATTGGAGTCCTCACATAATCTAATATGAAATACTAAAATAAAATAAAAATAATGGCTTAATGTAATTTTAAAAAAAAATTATAACTAAAATTTATCATCAATTAGTAAGTAATAACAATCACAAATCATATCATAAATTTTTTAATGTTTTCATTTGATAAATTTAAATGTTAGTATGTACAGCAAGAAAAAAAAAAAGAGCTCAAGAGAAAGAAGAAGACATGAATTTTTGTTTTTTGTTTTGAGTCGAAGAAAGTAATTTTTTTTTTAAGGAGAAATCGTATGGGTGTGATATATACTATTTTTAGTTTAGATGGATCTTTCCCCTTGTATTTTTCATGTGCTTCTGTTTTAAAACTGTTTAAAATTTGTTCTTATAATAAAAAGAGAATAAAATTACGAATACATTCACATCACTAAGACTCAAACCTAAGGCTTGTACCAAGAGATATGCACTATAAACCAACTCCACCAAATACATTTTTGTGTCAATGTGTTGCACGTTGGAGTATATATATAGTTGTTATAATATTAATATATATTATATAAAGTAAAAAAAATTTGGGGGCCATTAAAAATCAGGGGCCTTGTGCAGTGACGCCACTTGCACCATGCCAGGGCCGCCCCTGCCACGATTTCTCTAAAGTAAATTTTCTTTCAATTTTTTGTTTATCTTCTTCTTGGGTGTTGAGATGAGAATCTGGGTTTATCTTAATTAATTTCTTTCTTCAATTTTGGGCCTGAAAAATTTGTTTATGAATGCATTTTGATTTCAATTAGTGATTTTATGAATTGGTTTTGAGTTTAATTGGGATTTTCTGAAGTTGTGCTACTGCAGTTTTGAATTTTTGGTTTAGAATCCTCAAGAAAATGATTGTTCAACTTGATGGAATGAAGCAACGAGATTTTCTATTCAGAACATTAGAAGGTACCTTCGTGTTCTTCTTCTTCTTTTTTTAATATATTTTTTTATTTATAAAAACCAACTGTAGGACCCTTCTTTGATTTAAGACTTTAATGTTGGTTGTAGTTGCTAAAATATGAATATGGGTTTGAATATGTTAGGTTCTTATTTTATTCTTCTCCATAAGGAGGTATATATAAGAGTTTACATAAGTGCTTTACAAGGAATTAGATCCAGTAAGAATTAGGAAAGTATCTCCTAATTATACAATGATTTGACAACTATATAAAATAGGAAAGTAAATCTCTTAATTAATCAAGGAAATAAATCTCTTTGATTAATTAAGAGACTCACTTCAACAATAGTCGTACATTTCTTTACATTACAGTTTTTTGAAACACATTTAACGTTGAAATCCTCTCACTCTTTGCAGCCTTTATCCGAATATTGAGTGCCTAAATTCTTGGTGAGTATGCTGCATTTGCTACTGCCATTGCCACTGCAACTACTATTTCTTTGAGAATTTTGTTGTGCTCCTCAATTAAATTTGGTTTTATTTGATTTCTGGTAATTTTTGGGCATTTTGGATTTTCTTCACTGAATATGATTGTATGCAATTTTGAAATGGGAAGATGACAATTGGAAGAAGAAGAAAGCACATATGGAGACTGGAAGATGCTATTGTCAGGAAGGACTTTTGTAAATCTATAAAATACGTAGATACTCATAGTTGTACAAAGAATTATTGTAACAAAATTTATTTGTTTTTGGTATTTGAGTTTTTTTAATTTTTAATTTGTTTATTATAAAAGTTTGCATTTTTAGCCATAGTTATTTGTGTCCATATTGAATAAAATATATTATTTTAATATTCTCCAGGAGCTGCTAATAAAGAGGTAGAGTACAGGTGGGGCACAACTACCATCTCAGTCATTTGTCAAAATATAAGCACAAATGCTTCATTTGTACTTTAATTGTCTGACGTGAACTGATGAATTTGTGCTCTATAAGTAATGAAAACTCCTATACAGGAGACCGACAACTTCATAGTGGCTGCACCTGCACCGTGCGTGGGTATTTTCATAGAGCACAAATGGAATCTATGCTTTTATCACAGTTTTCTAGTAGTGTAGGTAAGCTAAATACAAAATATCCTACGGTTTTACCTATACTAATTCGTAGATATACTAATTTACCTACATACTTGTACATATTAATTTATCAGCACCTAAACAGATTATTAATTTACCTATACTAATTCGTAAGTATACTAATTTATAAATATCATACTAAATTTACCTATATTTTGCAGGTATACTAATTTACTTATATTAATTTACCTACGCTTGCACAGATTGTTTACCTATATTTGTAGATATGCTAAATACAAAATATATGAATGCTATTATACACATATGGATCCCCAAAAAAAAAAACATAATATATTGTAATTAGGAATTTTGGTTTCCTTTTTTTTTTTTTTTTAAACTACTTACCCTTTGTATAATTATATTGTAATTAGGATTTCTTTCGTTGTGTAATTATTTTAGGATTTACCACATTGTACATCTTTATAAATACCTCCATATTAAAAAAATAATATATCAGCAAATTATCATATACTTTGTTCGGCACAAAAGACAACCATTAATTGCTGCTCAAAATTTTCTTGGGCATAAGGTTGCGGGTGACTTAAAGTCCATTTACATATAATGTTAGTTATTCTCTGTTCCTTAGTATGTCCAGGCGTCATCCTATTATTCGTATGTATTATAAGTTGGCAAATGCCAAGTACTACCTAATAATTTCCCCAAGTTTGGAATTGGACAATTTATGGAAATAAGGATTCCTATGGGTCAGAATAATATAGTTGATTGGATTCATTCTAAACGATCGAGGTCTCCTTCTTTGTTTATATATATATAGTTATTCTCTCATTCGGATGTCCGTAAGACATCCACATAGAAGAATTTCTCGCTGTACGAGGTCTCCTTCTTTGTTTATATATATATAGTTATTCTCTCATTCGGATGTCCGTAAGACATCCACATAGAAGAATTTCTCTCTGTATATATATATCATTGTTTGTTGGCAAATCTGAAACCAGAAAAATAGATTTGTTTTTCAACAAATTCATCCGTTAGTTTTTTTTATAAAAAAAATAAGGATTACATAGACTTATTCTATCCTAAAAATGTTGGAAAATAGGCCCCGTATTTTCCCTACTGAATTGCAGCCCAATGGCTACGATTGGAAAGCCATGTGTAAGCAAACTTTGGCCCAGAATTGTTTGAAAAACTCCAAGAATTACCTTTATTCAAGGTGCGCTTATGGAGAGGCCAATATAGCTGCATTGCAGATGAACTTGCAAAGGAAGGACACAACCAAACTAATCCTCATATTATATATGATTTTCTAATTGGCCTTCTTATATGTAGAACCTAAAGTTATGTATGTATAATTGAAAGGAATGAACACAGAGAATTGTCGAAAATAGAACAATGGACAACAATTATAACGCTAGTTTTCGTAGCAAATTAAAGTAAAAGAATTTCAGAGCAACGCCCGGCACCCTAAATACAGTACTCAAACGCTGTCTTTAAAAACAATCCGGAAAATGAGTTACCTGAGCCGCCAACCAAATAGTTCTCTTTCGTTCACCTGCCCATCCAACTGGTTTTGGTGAAAAATTTGTCAGAAGAGTTTATGAACAAAGAAGTGGACGAGAGAAAGAGAACGAAAAGTC